GAACTTTTGCACACAGAAAAGAGAGTTGTTGGAAACAACCTAAAACCCAGAGACGCTTTGAATGTCAGAACCACAATTTAAATTCAAATACGCAGTTTTTAATCTTTTTTTCGACATGTGTTTAAGGGTTCGAGAATAGGGATTTTCTTTCTTAGCTACTGTATAAATATGCTTCACTTTAGCTTGTTTTGTAGCTGCAAAAAAGGTCTTAGTATATACAGACGTCTTTTAGTAGTTTATTTTATTAGAGTAAACACATCATATGACTGATGTCAGGCAACAGAAATTACAGGGTCTCATGATTCAAATTATAAAAGTTGATGTTATGATTTAAAAAAAAAAGGGATCTAGCTGATTTTTCTTTTCTTACTCAATATTTTGCAGTTACAGAAAATAGTTGTAGTTTTCCATCAGGGTTGGTTTCTTTTTACTGTTGAAGCTTGAGCAGGAAGCTAGTTGCATCTCCCTAGCGTGTCCTCCTGCCGCGAAACCTAATGCGGTGCCCGAAGCTGCTTTGTGTTAATGTAATAATTTACAATTTGGACTTAAAACCTGGCTAGGTGCTTTCTTCCTCGCTTTCTCTGGCGTTGGTGGCTGAATGAGCAGTTAGTTCCTGATCTCAGGTAGCGGTTTTCCGAAACTTTTCTTCCGTTACCCACCTCTCTGAAGATCGCGCTGGGCAAAGAAGTGTATTCCCTGCAAAATACCTAAGCGTGTAGTGAAGATAGCTGCAGTATTTGTAATAGCCTGGCAAATAAGTGTGGCGGCTTCTCCAACAAGGACAGGTCTAGATTATTATGAATGAATTTTGGATATGCGAAGTGAATTTAAATAGATTTCACTTGGCCAAACCAAAGAGGTGTATGTTAACTTTAATAGCAGGGAGAGGGATGGGATTCGAGTACTCTTGAAGAAAATACAAGGTAAGGTAATGATGGCAGCAGCTGGCTTAAAGGCATTTTTTAAAAAGGAAATAATCCTAAAATAATCCAATAGTGAATAGCTCGTGGCTGATTTTGTATATTGTATGTATAAACATGCTTCTCATTCGAATTTGAGTGTAACCCCTCACGTCTGTATACACTGAAGATCAGTGACCACTGAAAAAGAAATTCATTTTCCAGAAGTAGAAAACATTTAAGATACGTCAGTAAGTGACACTTCCGACCAAACTTTTCGGTTTTTCTCTCAGCAAAAAGTAGAATGCACAGAAGTTTGTATTAAGCTGTTGTTTCATATGTTAGATAGACACCATCTCATTTTTATAGCTCGACAAAAGAGGAATGCGGCATAAACAATGACAAAACCATTTATCCAAATTGTGCAGTAACTGTGAAAGTTAAAGCCAGTTATCCTCAAAGTCCATAGCTGTGTTTATCCAAACCGCAGTGCTTTTGGAATATTTTGCACTTAGCATTAATGTATGTATTTTATTTTTATTTGTGCTGGTCTTTTACAAAATCATGTGTTTTTCTTTGCTTAAAACCTATGTGGTTATAGCTAAATAACATAATTAAGAAGCATTAGTATTCTGAAAGATCTTTGTTGAGAGAATGTAGAATATTAGAGTAAACTCTGTTGGCACGTTTTTGACATTGTATTAAGTGCGCTTGTATGTGATATGAAAGCCGAATTTTTGTCACGTACAGAGCAAAATCATGTATTTGTGAGCGTTTGGTTTACATAGTTGAGTATCCATGTCATTGCACAGAAACCCTTATTTTGGCTTGCAAAGTGAGGTTTCCCAATTTCAGATTCTTGCATTATGACCTAAAGCAGAGAATTACAGATGAGCCATGGGTCTGTTGAAAATGCCCCTCTTGGAGAATATTCCTTTATAACATCCCTAGAGGATGCCACTGTCTGGGGAGGAGGGGATGCCTCAGTGCCCCATGGCTCGCTCACGGCGGAAATCATTTGCACGTTTTGATCTTCCCGCCAAAATTTCTGCTTGTTTAGGAGTTTTCTACATGGAAAAGCTGTGGAGAGTGTCAACCGCTGCTCAGGCTGTGGCATAGTGTCTTCCTTTGCCGCCCCTTCCTCAGGAGAATACAGAATTACCTTATAGCTTGTCTGCTGGCACCAGTGCTCTCCCCTCGCTGCTCGAGTAGAGAAATACTGTCGGGCATGTGAAAGGATGCTGAGAACGAAAATTTCACTACACGCTTGTAACACCGTCTGCCAGGATATGTCGTCATAGGTGTTGATATCAAACATTTCAACCGCGTGCTCCAAATAATAAAAAATAAACTAACACGGGCTGCTGCATGACGTTTTGTAGTCTTTTTGAGAGAAGACAAAATGTAGGGTGCTAAATTAACCTAGGAACGTCCCTTTACAGAATTTGCCTTAACTCTGTACTGATTGGAAGTTGCAGTTGTAACAGCTCTTTCATGAATTCTGTATTATTTTTTGTCCTAGGAAAGTAAACAACAGGCTACATGGTGTCTCCCTTGGGCTGTCAGTACGCAGGGGCCGAGCGTCCGTCCCAGGCGCTTGCCACCAGAGAAGTGATAGGCATTTCCATCTGGAGGTGGGCAGAGAGGAAGCCACGCGCTTTTGCATCTTGGCTTCTTGATCTGTTGAACATGCCTTTCCTTTTCGTAGCTTACACTGGCTTCTTGATGTCAGATACAGATGAGCAAGCATTTAAAATTAATTTCATGGCCGTCTTCTCCTATTAGAGGTGATAAAGGTAAACACCAGAACAGCTTGGCTGAAACAGGCAGGCCGTGGTGTTTGTCTGTAGTACGGGACATCCCTTGTGCTCCCCGTGTGTTTGAACGTTGCAGACATTGAGAAGCCGTTAAAGATTACAACTTTGGCACATGTGTGGCTACATGGGAAAGCAAAGAAACTCCTCCCTTTTACAGAACTTGTAGCTTTTTGCCTTTTTTTTTTTTTTTTTAAAGCTGTCTTGTATCTTGTTTCAGCATCTCTGACGTGTAAAAGCAGACTTCCGGGGAACTACTGTCTCCATAACGCTCTTGGATGTGAAACAAACGTTAGGCTTTGTTACTTTCTTGTGTTAACATTAAAAGCAGTTGGAATGACGAAAATGCTCAGGCGGAAGCAATATGTGCTCCAGAAGGACTTTGCTTGACCGGTGTATTAATAGTTAACGTAGCAGCCTCGATAATCTGAATCTCTTCCAGGTGACTGAGCGCAGCAGTGTTTAGCTTCCTGCATTTGTCAATGTGAAAATACGCACTTCTGCTTCCTCATCATTGTCATGCTGCAACTACGCTTTTAAGTGGTTTTGCTTCCTGAGCCAAAGAATAGCAACCGACTCCTGCCAATAGCGAATCGAAAAGCTCATAACTGGTTCCCCTCCAGCACGTGTGCCGTCTATGTGCGTGAAGAGATGCTTAGATATTCAAGGAAGGTCATTTTTTTTAAAGCCTTTTCAGATGATTTTTTAGGTAGTCTGACAACAGGAAGAGAATCGATGCGAAAAGCTAATTTTAGGGTTAAACACAAAGGTTGCACGTGCCAAAGTTACATAAAGTTGAATGTGGAGTGGGAGTGATGACAGAGAAGGAAAGAATGATGTCAGCCCGCTCTCCATTTTCTGTGGGCAGATGGTAATTACATGGAAAATAGGGATTTGCAGTTATTGGGACAAGAAAATCAGTCATGTAAACCAAATTCCGTTTCGGAAACGGGTACAGAAGAAGGAACCACTGCTGTACAGTGTGGTTTTTTTAGTAGATGTAAAGTAGTGTGGTCTTATGAAATGAGTTCAAGACTTTGATTTGGGAATAGATGAGTTCACATTTTTGGCTTTGCCATTGTGGTTTTTTGTTTTTTTTGTCCCCCCACCCCATTTTGGTCAGGTAATGTAGCGTCTGTTGCTTTCTGCCTGTAATGCAGAATGAGTAATACTGCAGGGTGTTGGCAAGCATGATCTAATGTTTGAGCAGTATGGTAAAAGTGATCGATATTGAAGTGCTGACACGTGTTTAGTTGTTTGATCCAGTGAAGCCTGCCTATATATGAGAGGGAAGATCAGAAAAAAAAAAAAAAAAGTTGAGTTTAATTAGGAATTTCATGGCCACAGTGTGAATAGTTGGAGCGTCTGTTGTCTTTGGTTGCAGAAAACAGATCTTGAACAACGGTTTTCACCATGGACCCCAAGCGGTTATCTGCATGCTGTTTTTAAGCAGTCTGCAAAAGGGAAGAGAGCAACTGCTGTTAGTAGACTTAAATTCACTGTTTAGGTGTCTTATCTGTTGGAAATCTTTAAAGGATCCACAAATCAAAAAAAAAAATCACTAATCTAGAGCAAAGCATTGCATGTTGCTCCTGTTTCAGACATGTCTTGCCATGCAACAAAGTAGTATCCATCTAGTTAAAATTCTTGTCTTACACGGTTCTTCAAAACCATTTTTCTTCGCTGAGATCAGTATAATATTCCATTCATGCGCTTAGCAGAAGAGCTAGGAATGAAATTTAGTGCATGGTCCCTTTTTGTATGGCAATATGTTTTCCTCCCCATAGGTACAATTTGGGAGATTCCTTGGACTCTGAACATGTTTTTAACTAGCTTTGTCTTTTGGATTTTTTTCTGGAGTGGAGAATAGCACAGTGATTTGTCCTAGCTTCTTTTTAGGGTGAAAATGGAATTCTTATTTTAAAAAAGGAAAAATTAAAAGGTGTGTTCTTGTGACTGCGATATAATCCTATGTTGTGAACCCTATGAGTCAACAAAATCCAATGGGATTTGAGCAGTTTTCCCTGGACGCTACACAATTTTATCTGCTCCCCTAAATACAGTTTTCAAGTAAACTGCTACTCAACAGCTGGTTGCTCAAGAAGCTCCAGTTACTTTTGAGAGATGCACACTTAGCAGTGGAGGCATGTCCTTTTTTTTTTTCCCCCATGATGTGGGATTGTAGTTGTGATTTAATAGTGGGTAATTGTCTATTTTAGATAAACTGTTTTTGAAACGTTTTTTTTTCTCTCCTTTTCTACTCCATCTTCTTCTCCTCCCATTCTAGGCCTCGCACTGGACCATTCTCAGCTCTCTTCCTTCCCGTTGAAGAGTCCTCTGAGCTTGAACCCGGCATTTCAGGAGAACTTGAACTCAGCCGGCCAGGGTTCATCCCCTCTTCTGAGCCCTGTCCTGAGTGATGCTGGTGGTGCCAGGATAGATGATGATGATGAAATGAAACGTAAGGTAAGATAATGGCACCACAGAGAACTTGAGTAATGAGAAAAGCTTTAATTTCAGGTGAGGAACTGTGCTTTTTGGTCACTCAGCATTGATTGTGTGATACCTTGTGGTAACACAGATGTGTTTGGATGTTAGTGTTGAAAGATCCTCTGCTGAGGATTTAATCAAGTCCATTTATCCTGCTGTTACTGCAAGAGACTCCCATTGCCCTCTTGTGTGGTGGGGGACATACTCAATGTCTATTGCTGGAGTCACCTTTTGGTATTTTAGCAGGAGCTCGCTGCAGAGGGCTCCAGAGCAACAGGAAGGTGGTTTTCCCACAAATTTGTCTTTTATATTTCAGTATTTAAAAGTGTGTGTTTCAGGTACTCTTGATGTGTACTTGATATAAAACAGTAACAATGCACTTAGTGCCTTTTGGGCTCTGTGTTCTATCAGAATGTAAAAAACACTTGCTCTTGTGTTGAAAGTGTTCAAAAAACAGTTGAAAGCAAGTGAAATGCTCAGGGTAATTTTCACTAGGGTGGTACATTGAAGAGCAGGTAAGAAAGACAGCTGCTGACTCTGGAAATCAGTTAGTTGTCTTTGGCTTATTCACTTAGGAAAAGTTGTGTCACGTTGCGCCGTTAATCCTGGCCTTACCTTTGCTGAGTGTTGTCCTATTTGACATATGTCAATTGATTGGACTGTGCTGTCCATGCAAAGTGCTGTGTCATGTTAAGAAAAATGTCTTCTAAAATGATTTAGTTTACCATCGTAAGGAATAGCATAGAGCTAATATTTGTTAATGTCCATGGTACGTTGTTCTCATGTTCTTGACTTCTGTAGACGTTGTTGTCACGTGTTCTACGTCAGGCCTCCGGGCCATTCTTTCTAGACGTAGCAGGACCTTTAGAGTGGTGCTGAGGTATCTGCTTTTGAGTTGCAAGGGACTCAAGCTCAGCTTTAGCTTTCCCAACAGCGGTCGTTGTGGTGACTCCTTTTACACTCACCCAGTCATCTGGGGTACCTTGATTTATTCAGAAGAGCTGACTGTATCATTCGAGCTGCCCTCTCCGGCACTAATTCTTCTGTCTGCTGGGTGGTGGATAATGCTCTCGGCCTCTGGTGCTTTGTGCCTCGTGCAAGCTTAAGGCTCCTTTCCTGAGAAGGAGGAGGTAAAAATGCTAGTGGCCTCTGTGGGTGCAACAAATCTCAAAGCAGGAACAACTTTGCGTCCTCAAGATGTGCTCATGTTCAGGGATTGATCCCATAGCCTGGACTACTTTCCTTTCTTTCTACCAATAAGCACTGTTTGCCTTGACTGTGAACTGCCCAGCTTCAGCACAGGAACCTGCAAAGGTGAAGAACGTGCAGGTTTCATGCTGTGGGGGGGGGGGGGCTTCCCTTATCTCTGTGGAGAGTTCAGGATTGAGCCCTGCATTCCTAGGGAATCCCAATTCTAAAATGTTTTTGTTCTGGAGACCACTCCACCTTAAGTATTTGAAATGCAGAACTTCAGCTCCTTTCTGTGTGCTTCATCACCACTGAGCAAGGCTCCTCTGCCTCATTGAATGGTTTACATTCATATCCTCTGCTCACTGGAAGACTGCAGAGCCTTTCTGAAAGGTTTAAGTAGTGGTAATCCACAGATTCTGACCTGTGTGTTATTCAGGTTTTCATTTTTATTTGCACTGCACCACGTTACCAGGTTTTCACAGTGGTTGCTCGCGAGAATAAGAAACCAGAAGCAGCTCATCTTTCTTAAGCAATGGCTCCAAGCGTTTAGACACACTCAGAAGAAATAAATGCACGTGCGTCTGGGTATATACATATGCACAGACACACACTCTGGCTTGCACGTGCTCTTTGACCGCTTTTCAGCTATGGATAACAAATTACGAGACTTTGCTTAGGTAGGCGTGGTATGTGACAAAGTTGCAATCCTTAGAGCACTGCGTTTCTCCTGGTAAGATAGAGAAGTCCACCTCACAGTAAACTTCCATGACCGTTTTTCTGCCGGCTGCTTTGCTTGCTTGCCTTGCCTTGCCTTGCTTGCTTGCAGAAAGAGCAGCCAGGTTTGTTGTCTCTTCAGTGCTTGAGAAGAATCCAAGACTTTCCATTTCAGCGTGAGGAAGGCTCTGTTGTCCAAACTGCATTCTTTAGGGAGTTAATGGCCGCAATGAAGTCTATAGTTTTCTGTGTAAACTTCTTCTAAAAGAAGCCACCCTGTGGGACATTGACTCCTGCTTTTCTGCTGTCACCATCCAGTGGTCTGATCATCTTACCTCTGTCAGGATCCTCAGACAAGAAGGTCACTGGCTTATGCCATTTGTTGTCACATCTTCACCATGTCTTTGGGTACTTGTTGGAGCTGTGCCAACAAGTGCAGGCTTGCTCGCTCTTTTTTCATCTCAGCTTGTTTCTTTTTGCAAGCACACTGGTTAGGCTGATGTTGTGCACCATCTCCAATAATTACAGCATCTGGTTTGTCTCCTTGGTCGCAAACCCCGTTTCCCTGTTATTGTGCAATTGGTGATGTGCACTTAACACAGTTTTGAGAAGGCTTGAACGTCTTTACCCTCTGCTGGAGTTTGTGAATATTGATGATAGTAAAGCTGTGCTAATACTGTTAGTTCAGCAAGAAGTTCACATCTCATCTTACCCATCCTAATAAAGAAGGCTGAGCTTGAAGTCTCACTTATTTTGTGCGTTGGCCTATAGGTTTATAGGTTTTTAAAATACTTACTGTCATTTATCTTTATAGTAGGCATAACCTAACCTGGAGATAATGAACAGTAACTGCACCGTCTCTTCTAAAGGCCGAAGTCTAATCCTTTCTACCTTATTTTTCAAAATCTGATATTCCAGAAGATAGTTTCAGTCTGAAAGAGAATTCAAATTTATAAAAGTTACAAGCCTTGAAGGGAATTTTTTTATTGTATTTGGTTTTTAATTTGACCAACTTCCAAGACTTCTAAGGCTTCAGTCTCCATTCAGAAGCAATATTTTAAGTGGAAAAAAAAGAACAGGCTGAAACCAATATAACAAGTTAAATTTCATAGCAGTTTTACAATCATGTTATACACAAAAATGTAATTTTACAGTGGTGCTATTAATAGCCCTTTAATTTTAAGGGTGCTGCTGCTGTTGTAATTCTGCTTAGTTAGTCAGGCATGTGTATGTATTAGCTAATTAGATTTTATGTTCAAGACCTTGCCTGATATTTTAAATTAGATACATTTACTAAAATCAAATCACAGCACAGGTAAAGGTAAGACGTGCATTGCAAAAAATTGAGCTTAGGTTACCAGTATTCAGCAGCCCCCAGTTTGTTGTTTATGTGTGCTCTTCTTGTGACCCCACGTGCCTGCTAATCTGCAGCGTGAACCTTCCTGGGGGCAGCTGCTCATAGCTCCTTCCTCACCTTCGCCAAGCGCTCCACTATTATCGGCGGCAGAGCCTGCGGCAGGATAGTCCTCTGTTCAAGCTCCCTCGCTTTGCTCAGAGGAGACAGATTGGGAGGATCTCAGACATCATTCTGCTTGATACCTAATAATTAAAAGGTGACTTTGTGTCTGAAAAGGTTTATGACTGCAACTCTGTTTTTTTTTGTTTTTTTTTTAAAGTAGATTGGGATACTGGCTTGTTTCACAGAGATAATGAAGGCAAGCAAATAATTGAAATGTCAGCTGCCCCTTTTGAGTGAACGTTTTATAGCTAATTCTTAAACTCTTACGTTGTGTGCTTTGCGCTCCCAAACGCTGCTGTGATGCTGCTGTTGCTATGCTGAAAGCATTAGAAAGCTGATTTCCCTTGTTACTTTGCTTTTTTCAAGTAACTGCTTTTCTGTCATCATAGTGCTAGATTTCTCCTCATGCTTTTCTAATGGAAGCTGGTTGCAGCCAACCCTCTTGAATGGTACGTGGAAGGTGGTCCCCCTGCCGTGAGTTATTTTTTCATGTTGCTGAAGCCTAGTCACTGAAGGAAGGGAAAGTTAAGCGCTTTTTTGTGTATGCAGAATGATTTTTTTTTTTTTTTTAATGTTACTAGACTTGATAGTTTTGTGACGTTGCGATCTGGGTGCAAAACAGACGGGAAGGTAAAACAGTCTCTTAGCTCTTGCGGAGCCCCTGATATCCCCAGGGTGTCTCGTTGTCCTTTGTTTTTGGCCAGCATGTTTCTGCCTTTTTAAGTGTGGAGAAGAACTCTTTGTTCAACAGCAGTTGCTGTTACTGCATCTAGTGAGGGTGTGAAGGTTTCCAGGTGTGATTGTGCACACAGCAGACACCGAAAGGCTAATTTTTCGGAGTGGGACTCCGTTATTTGCTTTGGTGCCTGCCACGGTTGTAGGGATGTTGTCTTCAGCCTGGGGAAGCAGCCCGTCTCCGTGGAGAGTCTTTGTGCGTTTTGTCTTTATTTTTTTTCGGGCGTGAATTGATTTCCTTTCAGTGCCGGACCAGTAACGAAGGTGTTTGGCAGACGCCCTTTTGCACTTTGACAGCCAGACCACTTTTCAGTGCTTCTGGTACGGTGACGTTTTGTGTCAGAAGAAACGTGTGAGTGCTTTTTGCCCTACTGCTGTGAACCAGCGAAAAAAATCTGTACCTGCACTATGTGAGGCTTTCTCTCTTTTTTTGCTTTCTTTTGCTAGTAACAAACTTATTATTTTAAATCGTTAGGTACTCAAAGCAGCTTACCAGTGCCTTAGAAAAACTCCTGTTTTTACATAATGTAGAGAAAGGTCTGCGGGGAAGAGGCCCACCAGTGCTGTCCAAATGCCTGTCCGCATCAGTGAAAAAACCATGTTCTGTCTAGCAGCCGTTGCTAGGGCTCAACACAAATAACGTGCAGTTAGGACTAGCGTAGGACCAAAAAAAGGGAAAATTAAGGGCGTTGAATTTCAGCGGGGAGCACTTTGGAAAGTAGCAAGAACCTCAGGGAATAAACAGAACGTGGTGATGCAATGAAGAGAGAAACGGGGAAAACGCTTGGGAAATGGAGAGCATTTCCTGGTACGTCTCTGTGCCAGCGCTTGGGAAATGGAGAGCATTTCCTGGGACATCTCTGTGCCTCACGTTGGTGTGCGGTCAACTGGTGAGTCACGTGGGAACCTGCAGAACAGCTCAAAGTTAATGAGAAAAGATGCTTTAAAGTAGCTAATACAGGCTGTGAAAAATGGCAAAGGGCAAAACTCTGGAGACGGATGTTTCTGCATGCTTTTGCGTTCTGTAAGTGTTTAGGGAACAAACAGTCTGCAACAGTATTGTTGAGAGTGGGGAAAAACACCCACAGGAGCATCAAAGCACAAGGACGTAAGTTGAGGACAGACAGGGTCTCTGCCAGAGTCCTCCAGAATATATTTAGTGATTTGCATCACTTGAGAGTAACTCCTTAAACAACTGTTTTAAACCTATCTGGGAAAGCTGGCGTGGAAGAGGGGAGGATGGTGGCAGGTAGAGATGAGGTGAGAGGCGGCTGGGAGGAGCAGTGCTGAGAAAAAAGCTGAACGCAGTGGATGGGCATGAGTGTGCGTTGATTGCCGTGCAGCAGCTCGCAGCAGGGTCGTCTCTGCAGTGGCTACAGATACTGTGTTCCCGGTGGTCTCCTCTTGTCGCAGCCTACGGTTTATTCCACAACCTGACTTTCCTTTGCCTTTGGAAACTAGTTTTTCTAAGAAGTCAGTCCTTTAAGCCTTTGACCCTAGTTGTGCGCTACAGTAAACTGTGCTGAGCCCAGGAGGAGGAGTATAAAAACACTCCGTTGCACAAAAGACGGTCTCACATCTGTTAGCAATTGTCCTCGCATTGTAGAAGACAGTGACGAAGTTACAGTTAAGCTAGTATGTGTTGTTCTATCAGTTTACAAATAAATATGTTGCAGAAATGGTAAGAAGCGCTGCAGGAAGGAGGTGGTAAGCAAGATGTGGCTTCTTAACTCACTAGTCTTAGAAGAATTGGAGCGCGAGAGAGCTGTAAATGGAAATAGTATAGTTTTGGAAAAGGACTGTGGTTTTTAAATCTTCTGTATTTCATTTGATTAGAGACTTGTTTAAAATCTAGGAAAGTTGGAATGACGTTTTCCATATTTTTGTAAAGTGCATCCATGATTTTGCAAAAGAGGTTTAACTATAACTTTCGATTATTATTTCTTAATAATGTTGGAATATAAAAAATATTTTATGGCAAATTCAATGTTTGAGAATACAGTATCGAACTGTTAGTAATCGAGTGTTGCATTTTTTTGCCCCAAGAAAAAACACATGTAGCGTTTGAGCTTGGGCTAAGTAATAAATAGAGCATTTATGTATTAATACTTATTGATTACTCTGTTTTCTTTCAGCGCTATCCAACTGACAAGGCATACTTCATAGCAAAGGAGATTCTTGCTACAGAACGGACATATTTGAAGGACCTGGAAGTTATTACAGTGGTAAGGTTTTAAAAATGTCTTTAATGTTTTTCTTTTGCTTACCACATTTTTAATCATTAATTTGGAAAACTTGGAATTCCTTCCAGGTAACAGAAGAAGAAAGTCCTATGATAAAGGATAACTGTTGAGCCATGCAGATATTACTTTGTCGCGTAGGTCCTCATGGGAGAGCAGATATCCTCTCCAGACTTGTATAATTAGTTCTGCTAACTGCATCTTATATTGTTTTGGAGTTTTAGGCAAACTTTATCTCTGAATACCGCGAACACAGGATTCTTGAGGATAGCCTGAAAATGTTGTTTTTCACTCAGCCTCAATAACAGCTGTTGCTGTCAGCTGTGTTTATTATCTAGTGATCCTCACTTTGGAATTCTCTCTGAAACTTTTGTCTTTGTTGTACCTTCAGATCCTGAGAATAGATGATAATTTCAAAGAGTTTTAAGGAAGCATGCAGAGCTTTTTCGTCCTTTTTTTTTTTTTCCCAACCTTTTTTCATTTAAGGTGAGGAGGAAGCCCAGACTGGACTAGTGAGTCCTTATTTGGATGTTGGCTCAAGTTTCCAAATCTTTTTTTTGGTAAGAGCTGTTTGTTTGCTCTACTCCAGGTTTGAACATCGTGGCCATTGTGTTTCTATAAATTACTGTATTTATTTCATCAAAGAGAAAAGTATGAGTTCCTTATGCCGTGCATCTTCAATAGAGATATTTTGTGAGAGTTCAGTGAGTGTCATCTCCCTGAAATTCTTCCAGCGGACTTCCCAGAACTTTTCCTAAATGCCTGCGGAACATTTGGCATCTCAGATAGTTTTTGGTATGTTCCCATCTGTATGAGAAAACTGGGAACTAAAAGTAATTTAAAAAAAAAAAAAAAAAGAAAAGCTCACTATATAAAACTGACAAAATGCCTCCAGTTACTAAATAACTTGTACGGTGCTGCAAGTTTTATGAAAAAGCAGTTGTATGTGTTTTATGGAAAAGCAATTGTATTGTGTCATTTATGGGAATGTTCTAGTCATTCAGTAATTCGCTGTAATTTAGAGCAGTTACGAAACATCTCATCACTGGATTAAGAAACATGCTTATGCCTGGAGCCAATATTAAGCCTCGTTATTTGCACTGTTTGGCAAGGAAAGAAATGACATCTTCCTTAAATAGTTCTCCTTTCTTCCTGCTGTTTCCCTGTGCGCACACACTTTCTCCTCCCCGCTGTCTGCAGGAGCAGAAATTATATGCTAGCTGTAAATTTCTCAAATATAAAAATTGATCATAATTTATGATTTTTCTTGCAGTGGTTTCGCAGTGCAGTCATCAAGGAGAATGCTATGCCGGAGGGCTTGATGACATTACTCTTCTCTAACATAGACCCCATTTATGAGTTCCATCGAGGTTTTCTGAAGGAGATTGAGCAAAGGCTATCACTCTGGTAAGGATTAGTAGTGAGGTGCATGGGCAATAATCAGGGAGGGCCTTTTCCTTATGTGTTCACATCACGACCATATGTAATCTATATTTGAATTGGTATTTCTGCTTAAATAGAACCAAGGAGAAACTATTTTAATCAATTACGGTTTTTAAAAAGTGACCAAATAATTTTTGTAAAGCCCCCTTTTCAAGCACTGTCTTTTCTATAATATCCTATATTCATGTGAATTGTATGCCAAGCCAAGGTTTTCCGTAATTTTGTCCGATGTTGTTCCTCTAGCCTTAGAAAGCATGAGGGACGCAAGGTCAAAAGATAGCGTGCAGTCTTTGGGATACCTTGCCAGTTGATGAATCTCCAGGTGAAAATCCAGAGAACGCTTTTTCTGTAAATAAGATTAGAGCTATTCGGTTATTGCAGCGCAACTTATTTCTCATTTCAGAGAATGGTTTTGGTCTTCTAACCTTTGTATTACTCTCTTCTGACCTGAGACATAATATATTTGAATGTAAATACTGTGCAAAAGGAGATCTTCTACTCCTCTTAAAGTGGTGTTAATACATAGGTTTATTTTTATTCTCTTCCTTTTTACATTGGTGAACCAAATTATTTTCTGTGTAGCTGACTGTTCTGCCTCTCTTTGCAAAGCTTTCTGTTCTAGAGAGCGCAAGCTAGATGGTTACATAAGATTAAAGCAACCTGGATCTGGAGTAGGGGAAATGGAAAGATATGGTAAATGAAAAATGAACAAAAATAAATTCATAAATTCAGATGTGAATCTGCTAAAACATGTGTTCAGAAGTCTAAAAGGTTAAATTCCAAAACAGCTTTACATACCAATTGATTTCTATTCCTTTCTCAATTTCTGTGTTACATCTTTTATTTTTGTTATTTTGTGCAATTCCCATGTTTACTGTAGCAAGTGTTCAACGCAAACAGTGAAATGGGAACGTCAGGCAGAGAAAGATGGATAGAGGAGGGATTAATCAATAGCACTGCTTCCCTTAATTTTACAAAAGTAGTCCTCAGATACACAGATACCTGGGAAGCCTTTCTTAAAGATTATATCTGAAGTACTATGGGGTCTAGAGGGAGGAAATAGGGATTTCTTGATCTCTCATGTACTGCACCTTCTTATTTCATCTTTTTGTATAAATTTCAGGGAAGGAAGAACCAATGCTCACGTGAAAGGAGATTATCAACGAATTGGCGATGTCATGCTCAGGAATATGCGTACTCTGAAGGTAGTTAAAAGATTGGATTAATGGAATTTCGGGGTGACGGATTCTTTTTTTTCCTAATGTCAAGGATGGTAGTTTGAGCTTCAGTATTTTCACTTGGCTTGAAGTGACTTACAAACAATTATTGTTCGTAAACCAATTTTAAAATAAAACACAATCGAATATTTACAACGAGGCTATATACCACTGTCGCTCATTTTACCTCCTACGTTTACACTGAGGAAAGGCTGTATGTTTGTTGGTTACTGAGCAGCTGACAAAGCAAAATTAGTTTATTAATTAGCCAGACTGTCTTCCTATAATTGCACAACTCTCTTCTATGCAGATATCGTCCCATAAAGTTGTTGAATTCCAAAATATAAATGTTTTTTTTAAACTGCAGAGTAGTTTGTTCTGAAATGAAGTCACTTTTATTTGAAATAGAAATACCATCGTAGGACAGTTACGCTTGGGTTGCAGTGCTGGAAGAATTACTGCACTGTAGCCAATGGTTTGAAAAGCAGTATAAAAGCGCAGATATGGAAATTTAGGAAATTTGCTGGAACTTCTATTCAGACCATTAACTTTCTCTGCTTTTGGCATTCCCATGATGCATAGTGCAACATGCCAACCTATTTTGAGCCCAGCTGGTAGCTGTCTGCCAGTTTCTTTAATGGATATATCTAGGTAAGACAGCTTACTCACAGCTCACTTCTGCCTGTCCTAGCTTTAAAAGAGTCGATAATCAACAAAGATTGTTTTACAATGGGAAAGTATTAATCAGTGGCTATTAACGACTAGCTGTTTTTATAAAAGGCAAACATAGGCATAGCTACAATAAATAGTGAAGTGAGAACAACTGGTCAAATATTAGGGTTTTTTTCAATACTCCTTTTTAATGAAGGATTTAAGACATGTGATGCCGTTAGTATTATATTTTGCCAGCATTTATGACACATGTGCAGTCTTAGATTATATAGTAATGGTTAGAGACAAGTAGAGAGGGGGAAAGGACATTTTTTTGCATTCACTGTGACATCTATTAAAGACTGTTTTGCTTTCATACTAGTAATTTTGTATATGATTCAACAGGAGTTTACCAGTTACTTACAGAAGCATGATGAGGTCCTGACAGAACTGGAGAAAGCAACTAAACGCCTAAAGAAACTGGAAATGGTTTATAAGGAGTTTGAACTGCAGAAAGTTTGCTATCTGCCACTCAACACATTTCTGCTCAAACCCATCCAGAGACTGATGCACTACAAGTTGATCCTAGGGAGACTGTGCAAGCACTACACAGCAGAGCACCGGGACTATGCAGATTGCCGGAGTGAGTTGAGCACTCAACTGTATATATGCTAGGCAGAAACCTGTTCCCGTGTATATACAACAAAGGCATTCACAGTCTCATCCTGTGGGAGACAGCAAGCGTTACTTCTGCAAATTTGGTGTAAACTCTCTTTTTCTCCATTCAGAGTTTTATTTCTGTGTGCAGTTCAGCTCTCTGACTCTTGCATGCAGCTATGTGAAATACACAGGAGCTTTGATTTAGATTGTTGAAAATTCAGCTGCTAAATGATTGCTCTAAAGTCAACATCCTGGGGAAAAAAAAAAGGAAAAATACCAAGTAGAAAAGCAGAAAACTGTCAGTAGTAAATACACCTTAATTTCAAAGTGACAGCCTGACTCAAAAAATGCTTAGGTTATGTTTTAAAATTAACTTTGTTTTTCCTGAAGATTTTCAATACCAGGTTTCACTCTCCTGCCAGGCTCTCGTGCAGGCCTCCCAAGCTTTCTACAGGGGATAGAAAATTACCTTACCTGCTAGTTTGGAAAATGCAAAAGATAACTTTCGTATATAGTGTCCTGGCTGCACAGAATAATTATTTTTTTCTAGCATTCCACAAAGTGTTTTTTTCCCCTTTAAGGCTGGTATATCCTGGTGTTTCAACTCAAGTTCTAAAGTTCTTTCCTTTTTTGTCCCCTTTCACAGGGGGAAAAATGTAATACTTTTTTGGGAACTCTTCATCGATTATACGTATAAGCGTGACAAAAAGGATTGCTTTGTAGTGTCATAAGCATGCATAAGAAGTTCCCTTCGTTTATAAAGTAATCTTTGACAGAAATTGTTGTTTCTAACTTTTGAATTGACTTTTGGCTACATGGTAAATAACTTTTTTAGATGTGCAAAATGTATGTTACCAAATAATCTCCAGAAACACAGAGACCCCTATTTAGTCTCCATGTTGTCTCTATACTGCTATAAAATGTATTTTTAGAAAAAACATAAATCTGATTATTATTTCAAAATCAAGTTTCCAGCAATGAAATTTGTGGCCTGGGTTTTGTCTGCTCTATTCTGATCTCGTCGGTGCTGTTTTGCTTTCAGATGCGCTGAAGGAGGTCACAGAAATGACGTCCCAGCTTCAACACAGCCTGATCCGCTTGGAGAATTTCCAGAAGCTGACAGAGCTACAGCATGACTTAATTGGCATAGATAATCTCACAGCACCTGGTAGGGTAAGTAACTTAGTTACTTAGTTTTTAGAAACTCTTTTTTTTGTTTTTGTTTTTATTACGAAAGAAGTTCATTTCAACAACGTATTTACCACCACAGCCTTTCTCTATATGTTTTATGGAACGATGTAAAGGCTTTGTATGATAATTATCTTTATAGTTGGTCATGTTTACCTTTTGGTGATGCTCTTATAGAGAAGTAGATCAAAAATAGTTCTTCTTGGACTCTGGGTAGAGTTTCATGTTTCCAGTAAAGCAGGTACTGGATATGCTGGGGCGCTGTGCTCTGTATTTGGGTGGGAAGCAGTACATCGTGTATTCAGTAGGAAGTCTACTACCAGATCTGCTTATGTCTTTCTGCTGTGATCTCTTCTTGTGAATTGTGACTGCACGGAGAAGTGAAGGAAAGGCGTAGTTTCGTGTTTAACGAAACTGTTAGTGATCATTGCTGGGCACTGGTCAACATCTGTGTACTGTGGGTTGAAACGAAGCATCAAAATTCTGTGTGTTTGGGAAAGGTCGAGCTTTGTCTAACTTTTTCTTTTTCTCTGCAGGAATTTATCCGGGAAGGTTGCTTGTACAAGCTTACTAAAAAAGGTTTACAGCAGCGGATGTTCTTTCTGGTGGGTGCGGCTTCTGATTTTCTTAAGCCTAAGGTCTTCAAGATAAAGCTGTCATGAAACTGTTTTCATGTTGAGGTTTTCTTATGTGCAGGGGGGACTGTGATGAAGCAGTCCATTCAGGTTGTTTCTTTAGTGGCAAGTACTATTAACAGAATTTTTGAAGTTAATTGCCTCTAATGTATATAAACATGATTACTTTTAAGGGAATTAGCCAAGCTGATGGAGGACTGGTGCTTTTTCATGCTTCTGTAGTGTTTTTCAGCCAACAGATTTTAAAAAGATGTCAGAAAATACTTGGCACTAACTACTGTCTGCAGAATATTGATTGTATTCTTCCTCCATTTTTCAGTTCTCAGATATGTTGCTGTACACAAGCAAAGGTGTTACAGGGACAAATCAATTCAAAATTCATGGACATCTTCCTCTGCGTGGCATGTTGGTAAGTGGTTTCAAACTGCATCACAGCACTGAAGAAATGACTTTGCCTCTAAGGCAGGTCAAGGCATTCCTTCTCGGCTGTAGTGACCAAAGTAGCAACCTGCTCCTTTGTCAAAGCAGCTTTGCTGTCGTCGTGGCCTATGGTGCTGCTGATCACGGACCGGACCTTCAGCATGCCTTAGCCTATGGGCTAAACACAGAGCTGTCTGCAGGTGATAAGCTTACTCCTTCCATCTCGTTAGCAAAACAGCTGGAACACACCTGTCTGACACATCGTTTTCACGTTACTGTGAAAGGCTGATCTGGGAATATGGATTTGTCCTGCCATTTTTTTCCCTGCACCTAGGCATAAAATCAATCCCCCTGCATCCGCACTTGCATGTTCTAATGGAAGTGTTCTTTCTGTGTTTGATTTGCAGCTAATAGTGCTCGACCCACCGGTAAGTAATAAGTTGAATCCTGCTCAGAATCCTCCTTTTTTGCTCCTGTTGGATGTGGTGGTGTGCAGCTGCAGATGTGGCATTAGAAGAATGCGATATAGATTTTCATATAGAGGCAAAATAGATTTGAATTAAGCAGTATTTATAAAAGAGTAGCTGTTTTGCTCTTACTGCAACTGTGTTGTCATCATCTTGTGACCAAAATTCCTAGCCGGCCAAAGAGGAGAGTTTTGAGTATTTATCAGTCACTGAGCAGTGATGAGAAAAACCTTTTCTTTTTCTGCAGGTGGAGGAGAGTGAGAATGAATGGGCTGTCCCACACTGCTTCACAATCTATTCAGCACAAAAAACCATAGTAGTGGCAGCAAGGTAACATTTATTTTTCCTCACTTGCACGTAGGTTAATAGGTGTCTCCTCCAAAGAGTTAAAGTTTGATTACTTAGTGCAGCGCTGGAGTGGTGTTTTCATGTGTCCTCTGGAAAGGACAGCTTTGAAACAAATATATGACACTTCACAATTCCTTTATCAATATTGTTCTTCAGGAAGGAGTAGTTTCAACAGTCAAACAGTAAATTATTAAATGGACATCAGCAGGAGTAGCGTTGCCGTTATCTTGTTTCCTAGTCGGCTGAGCTGCTGGTGACATCCTCAAAGCAACTGCTATAAAGCAGGAGACAAACTGAAATCTAAACATAAAAATATTTTAGAGAACCAAAAGGAATTAAAATCCAGAACACGCCAATTGATTTAAGGAGGGGAGAGTTCCTGGATAGATCTCATGGAGGAAGCTGCGAGGTGAGAGAAAAATTCAAGGTTAGCTTGGAGAGCAAACCAGTTTCCCTTCAGTGTAACTTTTCCCTTGGTAGTGAGTTTGGGGTGAGGAGTTACCCCTTCCTGGCTGGACCATCCAGGCAATAGCAGCTAGAGCAGCTCAGGAAGAGGCAGAAGGGAAGAACAAGAGCAGCATCACACCGGAGGGGAGGAGTAGGGCGATTTGGAGCATCCCAGCTGGGTCCTTAGGGTGCTGCAGCCTGGGACCTGAGCCCTGTGATGTGCAAGGGCTGCCTCTGAGAGGAGTTCACTCTGACTCCTCTGCATGCCACAGGACAGCAGCACAGGGAGCACCCGCTCCCCCCAGACAAACATAACGAAGGTGCCTGGTGGTCAGAGGCTGCATGGGCTGCTCCAGGGCTGGTGGGCAGATGCATCAAAGCCAAACAGGCAGGAACAGCTTTCCCTGGCCAGCAAGATGCGGCCAGTCTGGGATAGATCCAGCTTACGCGAGAAAATCCAGGCATGCCGGTTAAAAGATCCCAGGCCCACACCAGGATTTCTACCTCCCTGGCCTGTGAAAAGAGAGGACGACAGTCCTGCAAGGGTGAGCTTGGGGCTTTGGCTCTTTCTCCCTGTCCTGGTAGCAAAGCGGGTAGCTGCCTTCTGAGCTGGGGAGAGAGTTTGTTAGCAAGGAGCGTGGGGTTGCTTCCCTCTGTGTCCAGCTGCCAGCAGTCCCCGCCGGACCCAGTTCCTGCACCAGCTGGTGCCAGTTCCCAAGCAGTGAAGCACTCGGTAATGAAGGGGCTGGTCTGCCGCAGCAGGATACTCCCTGCCTGGGGAAGCAAAAATGGCAGACTGCCCTGGCACCAAACCAGTAACTTATGTCTTTACGGTTTTTGGGTAGATGGTAAAAAATGTGAGCAAATAGGATTGTTACTGCATTTAGAGATGTGATTTACAAAACCAAACTTTGCTTATATGCAGTAGTAGTAATTTGCTTTTTCTGTAAGGGTTACAGTGGAATGCATAAGTTAACACTTGCAAAATTTGCAAGTGTTAATTCAGCTGTTATTCAGACAAGTTGCTTTGGTTAGCCTGGTATGAATCCATCTGAGGATGGTATAATTCATTTTGGTACGTTGATGTATCAGTCCTGGTGATCTTTCCACTAACTGGACAAATCCTTGCTGTAAAAGGACAGGACGTGCAAAGTGATTGGCCAAGTCTGTGCTGCTTTTCAGTTGAGTGTTTAACTTCATGCCCGTGCTGTCTAAATACTATAAGCATTTGTATTGCAATGTTATTCTTTAGTGCCTTTTTGCCTCAATATCTGAAATACAATAAGGATATTTACACCTAGTCTCTCAGGATCAGCTTTCGGAGGTTTTGTACATCTGCAGTTCCCCTAAAAAGCAGCTGGAGTTGTGTGTGTTGGGAATGCAGAATTGGAGCAATAAATCTCAACTTTTATTTTTGTAGGTTTTTTTTTTTTTTACTAGTTAATAGCTCCTGTTCTTGAAAAATAGCTATTATTGAACATTTATCGAATCAGGTAGGTAGTGGCATAATAGCGAGTACTTTTTGTGTGCTCACATGCTCAGCAAGTAAAGCTTTCTTTGTTTTTCTCCCCTTTTTTTTTCTTTTGAACTCCAGTCTGATGCCTGAAAATGTCAAATATTTTTAAGGTCAACCATTTCTAGGCAACTGTGAGCCAAAGTGTGTCTGAAATGGTCTTAAATTTGGAGAAGTAAATATATTTCTTTTTACCTTGTCTCATAACTTGGAAATAGTTCAAAGGAGTTTTTTTTCTTTGACTTCTTCCCCTCCCTGCCTGTCATAAGAAATCACTGCTGGGCTTATTAGACCATGCTTGGAATTTGCAATCTAAAGGGAAAACTCTCCGAAATTTATGAGCTGCTGAAAAAAGGTGGTTACAGAAAAAAGGTTCCCCATGGAACCTCTCAACCAAATACTCTGTATAAGCCTATATAACACTTTAAACAAAAACTGTGCATGCAGGGAATGTAGCAGGAGGAGAAAAAGAAATGCCAAGGCTATGTTCGATTCTTGAAGGAAAGGTTTTGTGCTGTTGCATCCCAATGGAGGTGGATACAAGAAGGAACAATAAAATTCTTTCCCTGTAAACATGGCATCAGCCATGCAACCTGTAATGGGAACGGTGTGGGCTGAAAAAAATCCTCATCTTCCTATACTCTCTGTTTAACTTGCTTGAGATGAAAGATAAATAATATATCTCCTTTAAAAGCCACGCTATCTGTCAGGTTGCCTTTCATCCTCTGAATCATCCTTTCCAGTATGGCCATGCTACCCATCTCCAAAATTTTTTTTTTTTCAGAATGGGAGCATGATTTTGTATTTGAAATAGCTATGAAGCCCTCTAAAAGAAGCACAGCCCTCTATATGAGCAGTAGTGATGATCTAGACTGGGTAGTTACTCTGTATGATAGCTCCAAAGGCGGTTTTACGTGGTCCTTTTGCTGTCTAGCCATTCTCTTTCTTATTCAGCCCAAGTTTTAAAATGGTTATTTAAAACGTGTCTCAAGTGGCTTGAAAATAGCAGTGAAGGCTTTATGAACTCGGTTTCCTCTGAGGAAAGCTGCTTTTAATCGTGTTTTGGAGGAAATTTATTTTTTAATGGAAAAGGATGGCTTTTTGTATTGGGCAGGGGGTTTTGCCTTCCCTTAGAAATCCAGCGCTCTGCCACAGCGCCAGGGCTGTGTCATTGCCATTTGTGCTGTTTGTCCTGCAGTACCCGTCTGGAGATGGGGAAGTGGATGGAAGACCTAAACATGGCAATCGAAATGGCCAAGAAATCTACTGAGAAGTCCGACGTGCTTCTGGAGAACTCAGTATGCAATCGTTCCAACAGTAAGTAGCGTTTTCTGCCTTCTTGAACAGTGTGAGGTGTTAAGTCCTTTTCTTTTTTCCTGTTGGAAATTTGATGACATAAATGGTATATTTGATCATTCATACAGTAATGGAGAGCTCTTGCCCTGTTTTTATTTGGAATAAATATGCTTCTCTTCTTAGACTGGTGTCCCTGGTAGCTTCAAACACAGCAGAGATGCTCCAGCTGCAGAACTGTTAACTTTATTGGGTCCTTATTCATCTCTTATCTACATCTTTTCTCCATTTAACAATGTAGTATGTTTTCTTGTCCAGAAAAGTGGTCTTTGCAGATCAGCAAGTTCTTCCATAGCCCAGCGTTCTTGTGCATCTCTTTGGTGTTGGTAGGGATGTGGTGAAGCACGTAGTGTTCCTTCTTACAGCGTTTTTTCCTGTTTCTCACTAAGAGGGGACTCTCCTTTCAGACCATTCCTTGGAGTGGGTGCTGTAAAATGCTCTCCTCCTCTCAAGATTACTTTTTTTTTTTTTTTAATTTATTTTATGCAATACTGAGTCAGCTGCCCCAAGCAGAGTTGAGTAATGACAGCCAAAGTGATCTGCTCAGAATGGCTTTTAGACGCTGTGTAACAAATTCAAATTGACTTATTTTAAAACTGGATCATAGCAGAAGAAAAACAGTTATTCTGAGGAATTCCTGCTTCTCTTGCTGTCTTTGTATTGCACCGTTTTCTTAAACAGCTGCTGAATTCTCCTCCCCCAGGATCCTCTGATGAGGTCTCTCTAGAACAGGAGTCCGAAGATGACATACACTCTTCTCGTAGCTCCTTGGACAGGCAGAGCCACCACCGTGCCAACACAACCATGCACGTGTGCTGGTACCGCAACACAAGCGTCTCCATGACTGACCACAGTGTGGCTGTTGAGGTACCCTGCAGGGCGCAGCTCTCACGTCTCTCTCTGTCCGTCTTGGCTCACTCGGCCTCTGGTCGTCCTCCACTACGTGTTTCATGTTGGCTTCGAAGCATTTCTGTGGCTGTGAGAGAGCACAAGCTATGAAAAGGCCATTGCATGTTTGCCCATCTTTGTGCATGTCTGTGCGTCTGCGTACGCAAACACGCTCCGCTGCCCTTGCAGCAGGGCTCTGTTTCAGCAAATACTCTGAAAGAGGGAAATTTAAAAGGAATTCCAGGCTATCCCTAGGACTGAATTGTTCATTTGGGTTTCATGAGCCATGCTGGGGCACGATAAGTTTGTGTTACCTATCCATGATATTTTACTTTAGGGACTGACTCTGATATGCTGAGGTCTCGTATATGTGTCGGTTAGCTGCTACTTGTAGAAAAAACAGTGCTTTAAACACAACGGAGAGAGAACATTTCTGCCCTTCTCTCACTGGCGTGGGTGAGAGGCAAGCGTTAGGAAGTGCCGTTTTACACAGTGTGGTGTTACGCCAAACAGAGATACGTGATGTGCTGTTTGTCCTGCTGCGTGGGTTGATGCAGCACGTTTCTGTACGCAGCCCTGCAGATTTCAAGACAGATGCCTGGTCAGAGTTCCCTACGGAGAGCGCTGCTCGCGTTGGCGCCTGGATTTCCTTTCAGTGGCTGTTTTGCAGGGTCACTTAGGACACCTTCCTGGAAGCTGTCATCCTTGCAAGGCTTCCACAAGTGGGAATGTACCAGGAATACCTTGGAGAGAAAGGGGAGGTTGCTAACTAGAGAAGCAGTAGTAGTTCAGGATGCTGCATCTGTGTATTTGTACCTTCCTACCTTCCTTGCCCTGCTTTTTGATTTAACGGTAGGAGTTGAAAGTTGGGCACTGAAGCTTCTGTGTTTTCATGACACGTATAGCATACTAATCAGCTCACTGATGGAGATTTTGTAGACATGTTACATTGGTTTAGGGTCCAGACCTTGTACATTTTAGCCAGCAAAGAAAGCGGTTTCTGAGAAACAGCCTTTCTTCCCATGACGATAGACTTGTGAAAGGCACCATTTTACTGCTTTATATCCAGATAATGAGACCTGCCTGCCTGCTGCAGGCTCTGGGATTAAATATGCGAGTTCTTGCAGCAGCCTCTCGCTTTGATCTGTTTCACGTTCTAATACCATCGTTTTTTTTCCACAATTCATTTTCCTTTAACAGATGCTTTTCTTGCATCGCTTTTCTTATCCTAATGTTCTGTTTTTCTCTTTCTCTCCCCCTTTTCTGTGCTCAGTTTTCTGCTCTCTTGCTGTTTCTCCAGAGCTTCCTCCTCGCTATTTGCTGGGCCAGGCCCAACGGCCCAACACAATCACCCATGTTTGCTGGTACCGGAACCAGAGCCTATCCCTGTCTGATTACCTGTGCATGATTCAGGTAAAAATGCCTCTCAAATTCTGCACTGGTGGGAGGAGGCATGGGACTCCAAACAAAATTTACTACTACTTGCTCCATAATTGCAGAGTGAACCGTATATGTTGTGCTAGCACGAGGATCCATCCAACAGCAGAATTGCAATGTTTCCTCGATACAGGATTTCCTCCTATTTCTGCTTCCCCAAATGGTTCTTCATGTTATTCCGCTGTTTGTTCTGTTTTTTTTTTTTCTTTTAACTCTAAAATCCATTTGCCATCAGTCAATACTGTAGGTTTCCTTATCCCGCTGCACCAAAGTTTGGCGACTCCGACTCCAACGTGCCAATGTTTAACTTGTGTAGCGCGTTCCTGCAGCCTGCTTTTCGCATGGTGCTTTGCTTTCCATGGCTGCCGCGTTCTTGTCCGCCACTCTGGCCTCCGCTACCAGTCTTTGTTTCCTTTTCTGCTTTATTTTCCTTCTCATGCAGTGTGTCGCTTTCCTTTTTTCCGCATGTAAAAAAGGTAAATGAAGGGATGAATGCCTTTGTGGCTTTTAGTTTTCCAAGCATGTTTTCCTAGTGTAGACTGCAAAGGACAGTGATAGCTGGACTGATGAATCAGTGCAGCACTCTCCTTTGCGTTGCCTGGCATGACTCTGAGTTACAGTAGACATTTAAAACCAGTGTAACTTTATATTTGTGGAGAGAAAATGCTAGTTTGCTCATTACTGGAGTGCAAACGGAAGATAGTTGCTTTGCAGAATTAGTGAATTAAGATACAAAGTCATTCTGTCACCATATGAAAAGTCCAAGAGGCCTTTCAGAACATGGGAACAAGAGCTGTCATATGCGGGAACAGTTGTATCAGGGAGCCTCAGGCTTTTTATCTGCAGCAGTTGTCTTTGCCTTCTTCTCAAGGACAAGCGATCTGTGATTTCACATTAGTTTTCTTTTCATTCCATGCTAGAATCAGCTTTCAGGATACTTGCTGAGGAAGTTCAAAAATAGTAATGGCTGGCAGAAGCTGTGGGTCGTCTTCACCAACTTCTGTTTGTTCTTCTACAAAACGCACCAGGTGAGCAAATGTGACCGAGAAACTGGAAGTGCTACGTTTCAGATGTTGGACAGAAACTGGAATGCTTTGCTTTCAGCCGTAGGTACCGCTCTTTGGTATTTGAAGGAGAGTAACAAACAGAAGAGTAGGCAGTAATCGATGAAGCTAGTGTCTGCCGGGTGAAGGGCCTTTCTTACAGAATTTAATCAGGATATCTAATTCTGTTAATGGTACTGACCTCCTGAGTGCGAGGGAAAGATGTCTCATAATGTAGTGACTAATGGAGGTCAAGGACCCTTTCATCAGTCACTGTTCTTTCCTCTACCTACGTGCTGTACTGCTCTCGCCTCTTGGGTTCAGCACAGTTAACAATCAGAGGCGTCAGGAATTTCTCTGGCTGTGGTGTAGTGGGTGACTACTTTTGTAATGAGCTTTACTGCAGTGCACCCTGTCCCTTTTCTTCTTATTAACCCAATAAACTGGGTTTATTTTATTCAGGCTTCTTGCCTGGAGAGTACGTTCCTTTGGGAGGGACATTTTATGCTGGATTCATGCTTGAAATTTGAGAGGGACGGTGAGGAGGGGGAAAGGGAGACTCCAGGAGGCAGTGAAAGGCAAGGGAATAGAGGCAAATAATTTTATTAAAACAGTGAAAGCAGCTGAGGAAGATTTCATTATAATCTATTACAGGCCTCACAAGAGATGAGAAGGCAACTCCTCCTCCCCTTCTCTCCTAAACAAAGTACTAAGACCTTCTTAAGTCTTCGCACAAAAGAGCAAACGCACGTTTGGACTTGCTGTCTCTGAGCCGCATGGCAGCGAATGCCTTACACTAAGACCTGTGCTTTTGGGCTGTTCCAGGACGATTATCCGTTGGCTAGTCTCCCGCTCCTTGGCTATGCAGTAAGCTCCCCCATGGAGGCGGATGGCATTCAGAAGGATTACGTCTTCAAGCTGCAGTTCAAGTCCCACGTGTATTTCTTCAGGGCTGAGAGCAAATATACCTTTGAGAGGTAATTTTATGTTTTCTTTGTCTGTCTCAGAATACAACATTCTGTTAATTCGTTGGCTGACAATCTAGAGTTAGGGTATTTAGAGCTCCTGACCATAGTCCAAGAATACCTAGCACGTTCCCAGTGAGAAAGTTCCCTTCCTCTTTATACCCATAAAACTTGCAGATCTGTCCTCTGCCAGACCCTTCCTCCTTGCAGGGGAGAAGGTGGAGAGTACAGCTAGAGAAGTCTGGCTTCTCTAGACTGAGAAGTCTACCAGGCTTCTGAGAAGTCACTTCTCAGTGTTACTGGGAAGTCGCCACATACTTCTCCCTTCCTTGGGAGAGCATCACACACTTGCGAGCAACGTTCGTATCAGCTATCTGAGATAGCAAAGAGTTATGCTCTTCAATCCACCAGCTTCATATAGTGATTTCAAGGAAGAAATCTGTAATTCACAATTGTTGCTCAGTTTTCTTCCATATTAGCAAGAATTGAGAATCTGTTACGTAATTATTTGTAAGAAAAGCAATCCATGTGACTTAAGAGGACAGGCTGGCAAAATTTCCCTAAGGTAAAAACTGAACCAGAGAGTTTCCGTACAGTTATAAGAGACTACAGTGTGCTCTAACAAGAGCTGTCTGGAGCTCTTGTTCTTTAGTGTATTTATCACATCTTAAGCTAGGTTTGACACAGTCAAAATTTAGTCTGTGAGAGCAGGAAGGAGGTGCAGGAAGGAGGTACAAGTTAATGCAATTTTGGATTTTCTCTTTTTAAAAAAAAAAAAAAAAAAAGGATTTGCCAGTATATCTCCCATTCCAGTGTTGGCTCTTTTCCTGATGCATTATGATGTATGTGCTCTAATTGCTCCAATCTTCTTCCTAAGTTATTTCTTTTTTTTACCTATTCATTTGAAGAATTAACTTAATCTCTCCATTTTAGTAAATAACTTCCTAAAAGAATTTTAAAAGAGAGGTAGAAAACAGTTTTTTTTCGTGAGGTCTGGTCTAAGTAATGCAATTCCTAACCAAAGCACAGGATTATGGCGTGCAGCTTGAGGCATCAGTGAGCGAGGGGCTGAGCGTCCTCATGTCCTGTTACTTCTTTCTTACCAGGTGGATGGAGGTGATCAAGAGAGCCACCAACTCTCCAGCAAGATCGAACCTGCTGCTTCCAAAGGATGAGAAGGATAGTCACACAGACTGATGGGGGGCAGAGCTGGATCTCTGCTATAAACATAAGTAAAAGAGGTGAGCGGAAACAGGAGTCCCTGGAGCGGACAGAGCAAAGAGCCAGGATGCTCATTTCCACCTCGTATGGAAAGTGAGAGCGAGGGAGTTACGGACTTGGGATCACATCTGCTCCACATGGTATGGCGGAGGGTCAAGTCTGCTCCAGTTGAACCTACTTAGAGAGAACCTAACTGCAGATCTCCGGTGAGCACACACTGTGGAAGGTACTTTGTTCCAGTAGTACCTATTCTGTACCGTAATACCCTTGCCGGCCCTGAAGGCAAATGGCACCTCTTTTTACATTGTGACTGGGTGGTCAGCATATACCAGAGAAAAATAGCGGTTGTCAGTGGTGTGTTTGGCTCACAGCTGCTGGTGTCAGGCTTGCTGGCTCCCAGAAGTTCCCTTCCCCTGATGCTCAGCGTGGCTGACTATACAACTGCTGTCTTTCTTGCTGCTGTTAACGTCAACCTGCTGGCACAATCTTCTTAGACTAACGGGGTCCACAGATATATTAGCTTAAACACAGTTAATTTTGAACAGAGACTGCAGCTCTCATAGAACAATTCTGCTCTTTGGAAACTGTCACGGCAACAATTTTCCAGGGTAAGTGGGAAGGCTGAACCTCGAAGCTGTTGAGGTGTCAGTAGTGTGGGGTTGGTCCAGGTAGGGTGCATGTTTTTTCCTTAGACCTGTGCTATGTTGCATGCTGAGAAGGTCAACTGCTATTCTCATATTACAGCTCCAGTGTCTCTTCATCCTGTAATAGGTATTATTACTTAAGGCATGAGATGGCAAACACTCTGTCCACCCTTATGTGGGTGATGTTTTCAAGGCATTTAAGCAATATTGGAGGACAAGCTCCTCTGAAAGTCACTGTTGCTTGTGCTTCTGTGTCACTTTAAAGACTTCTGAAAAATCTCTATTCTTACTTTTAAATACGGGGTGGGATCCATCTTTCATTTCATGTGAAGGTGTAAAAGTCACTGGATTCTAGATGGAGCGTTAGTGTCTGTGGACTCTATTAAATCTCTATCAAATCTGAAGTGCTTGCTGTTTGTTCTATTTTTGTAAAGCTGTCATATCTCATGGCCCCCGCAGAAGGACTGAAATAAGCTAAAAGCCACAAAATGCTGTTAGACATGGCTTTGAGGGGCTCTAGAGCCTCTCTTTACATTTTAGATAGAAAATTATTTGTGTACTAGAAGAAGGAACAATGAACGTGTGTAGTGAAAGAAAAAGGGAAGTGCTGTGTGT